GAACCAACCCATGCTCACTCCTAGCACCACAGTTCATGGTCTATGACTCCTAACATGGTAAGGGAAGTTTTAGCAATGACAACATTATGCTTTACTGTAGTTGGCCAACAGTAACTCAATTGCTCAATTGCAATTTTACGACAACAGGGATTGGGAGAAGATGAAAGAACAAAGAGATTAGGGTTTAGCCATTTAGGTATGCTTTTTAAATTGTAATGTTGTATGTGAAAGGGGATTATTATGTTTCCTCATTTACCCTTCGTATTTGTGTTGTATTACAATATATCAAAAGATAATTCGAAAAGCATGTAGGATGTTTTTAGACTTTCAATAAATTTATAACAATAAAGCAATATATGCTATATAATAAATAATAATATATAGGAGTGGGGCTTTTATTAGATTGGATTGAAGTACATCAGATTCATTTTTACCTCAAACGAATCCAATCCGATTATATATAAAGCCCATTCGAATATAAGATAATCGGATAGGATGTCGGATTGGGCCACARATTTTCAAGTATCATTGAGAGGCATATTAACTATATTCAAATACCATGTGGCATTCATATATGTTGTCATACAATACACATGTCACTAAATACATTGATGTATATGTGTTTTCATGTGCATCCATCTATGCTACCACATGGTGGAATGTATGTAGTTGGTGCACATGTTCTAGAGAGTATAAAATATATCAAAGGGCCAAAAAACACAAAGTATTAAAAACTGACTTTGTACTTTTTATGTTTTCCATACTTCTATTTAGCATTTTTTAAAGTACAAAATACCTCAAAGAAACGTGCATTTTTTGCTTTTTGTACTTTATACTACCAAAAATATAAATGTACTTCAAAAAATACAGAAAAATAGGGTCTAATATCCCTTTTTTCTTCTCTTTTGGGAGGAAAACAAGATTACAAAACTTTCTATCCTCTGTTGACTTTGTTCTTTATAGGAATCTATATTATGCTAATCGATCTTATCAAAAACAGTTTTTTTTTTTTTTTTTCCCACATAATGCTGTAAGAGAAAAAGAAATTGCACTCTTCATTTAGATTTTTTTTTAAATGGTTATCATGATTGAAGATGGCGAGAGAAATAAAAGATGGGTGGACGAAGGAATTGAATTAAGGTTTTGCATATGATAATGAAAGAGTAAGAGAACAAGGAAAATAGAAATTTGTTCAGTTAACATTTTTATTGGGTGGTATTACGGTAAAAAAATGTTATATTTCCCGCTCACCAGTCACCAAATTCAACCTTATTTTACAAACATAAAATAATGTCAATTGAGTAAAATTGGTGATATTTATTGTAAAAAAATCTAAAATTAAATTATGTTCCCATTAAGATTAGAAAACATGCTTATCATTAGAATATTGATGGAGACCTACCATTCTTGTGATTATTTGTAAAAGCTTTGGGGCTGCCGGACTGTGCTTTCTTTTTACATTTTAATTTTGAGTAAGAAAACAAAATGTTTTTTAGATTTATATATGACCCACATCGCTCTATATGGGACCTACATTGTTTAATCCCTTTTTGGGGCCTAGGCGCATGTTTGAACTTTGATGAACTGAAGAAGCACTCATGTCTGAGGGTTTTGCTTTAATATATAGTAAGGTTCAAAGTATGGAAAAGTAGTGTATTAGTTTTTTTTTGGTGTATAATAATAATAATAAATGTATCTTTACCATTTGAACAATGGAAAAGTGTATTAGATATTAACAAAAAACTATCAAGTGTGTTTCATTTTAATACTCTTTAGTTATTTACTTTTAGTCTGTAATTTGCAGATGTATTTGTTCAGATGAATATTAACATTTGAATTTATTAAAGGGAAAATTTTTTAAAATAATTTTAAGTTTTAGAAAATTGACTAATTCTACCCCTACTGTTTATATGTTGTCTTAAAATACCCCCAAGTTTTTTAACAATTGACTAAATTCTCACTTTTGTTAGCATCCATGGAAAGATGATTCTTCTTTAAATTTTCAAAATGAAACATTTGACACYTTGCTACAATTCTCACTTTTGGTCGTAGATGAAGCAATGTAAAGATGCGGTGACCAAAGAGATGGGCCTTCTTTTTTTAGTGGGAATTAGGGGTGAGCAAAAAAAAAAAAACCAAAAAATTGGTTAACCAAACCAGTCGATTTGGTTTCGATTTTGATTTTGGTGTTTTTAAAAATCAAAGGTACCGGTTCGATTTTGGTTAACCAATATAGAAAACCGATGGTTAACCGAACTGACCAGTATACATATATTTCTATATATTTTATATATATTTATGTATATTATATATTTTATATATTATAAATTAATAAATATGCATCATATATAAATATATTTATAATATATGATATACAATTTATTATTTAAAATACAATATTTTGTATATATTTATAATTTATTATTACATATACATTTTTATAATATATATTGTAAAAATAAAAAAATGAAAATCCGACGAACCGAACCAACAATTAATTGAATTGGTCAACCAGTTAACTGATTGGTTTCGGTTACCAATTTTCCAAAAACCTCTAGTACTGATTCGATTACAAAAAAAGGCCCACGGTTTGGTTAAACCGAACCGTGGGCACCCCTAGTGGGAATCAAATGGGTAGAAAAAAAAGATGGTGCACCATTCCACTGTCCCATTTTGAGACAGTGGAGATGCTCAATTTTAGTTGAGTTCACCGCCCCATCAATTCTCTGTAACAAAAGGCAAATGCTGAACCCAACCCACAATCAGATTGACTCCATTTTGATCCCAAGACGAACACAATGTGGAACTTATTGTGTTTTTTTTTTTTCTTTTTGAAAATTTTGATGTGAAATTTGATCCTTTTTCGTTTGATGGGTCTTAATAGATGATTTTTATTTCTTCTGAAGCAGTCTAGTGAAACTTGTTGCCTTTTTCTTTTTGGATACTCTAGAGTTATTGAGAACTGTGGAGAATTGAATTGTTATGATGGTATAAGTTAATGGGTGAAGATGGGTCTAAAACTTAGAAATTTCATCTTAAGCTCAAATTTGATTATTTTGTGAAGTGATGAGCAATGACAAGTGACAACTATAATGTTAGCATTGCTTGCATCATGTGCTCCATTGCCAAACCATCTAAAAACACACAAAGGACAATATGTAAACAAAAAATATCAATGATAATGCAGGGGTTACAGGGCTGTTGCTTTTCTTGATTTAAGGCCTTCATGGCGCTCAATCCTATGAGCAAGTCAGCCCTATAAACTTGGATACAACTGTAACGTTGATTTTTATTAATTTTGTAATGCACATTTTTTCTTGATTTGCATTTGTTTTTCTGTAGGTTTGCCAATGAAGATGCTTAAATTTCATTGAAATGTGGGGAATTCGAAATTACCTTTGCATCCTGATTTTCTTTTTCTCTACTAGTTGTTGGTTTTTATTTCAGAGGACAATTCCTATTGTAAACACTTGTATTATAATCTTCTTTTTATTAATGTTTGAATTTTGAAACTTCTATAAAAAAGAAGAATGGGATCAGAGGGAACAAAAATGACATGATTATGAGTCAAGTCAGTTTTAGAGGATTTGACAACATTGTCATCGTATTARTACTCACAGATTTCTTAGAGAAAGAAATCATATGGTGGTGTTGATTGAAGACTTTCTCAACACCATCAGAGTTCTACCTTGATTATGATGTCACAAACATAGAGGCAATCTTAAAAAATAGATGACACAAACATGGAGGCAATCTAGAAAAACAGATGACTACAAGAAGCTAAAGCCTTATGCTTTTGAACACTTTGTATCTACTGAGGTAGCAACTGCAGCATTGGATGCAAGGCGGATGCTGCAGGACGTTGTGACCTTTTCTTGAATCACCGCCTATGAATTTGGTGCCTGAAAGTATGTCTCTTATTAATCAGAGACCATGGAGTCAATCTGATCCAACGAATCAAAACGAGGCTGTGAGGTAGCAGAGACCGTGGAGGACTACCCAGAATAATGACACGAAGGTTTAAAAGCACTGTTGACGGAAGAGTCGAGCACACTAGTTGTTCTCAAGCTGTATACTGCATTCTTCCTTTCTCCCTCACTTTATTCTTGTTGAGAAAAAGATATTTGTTCCTTTATTACAGGAGGCGTCTATGGAGTTCTAATGTTCTACAAACTACAAAGAACTCAAATTTTCAGGAAGAAGAAAATTTGAAAAATAAAGGAGGGCAAAATGAACCACAAAATGGGTAATATTAGGTTTTAAAAAAATTATATACATGTGAATGGACTGTAATGAAACACTAATAACATTAACAGCATGGGAGGAGTTAGTTAGTTATCAGAAAACTTAAGAATACTTAAACAGTAGGGTAGAATTAGTCAATTTCCTAAAACTAATTTGAACCTTGTATATACTATGCAATGTTTATTTGATACACGTTATTTATGGATGAAGACTCTGAACCCTTGGTGCCGAGTTTTTAATTGTATTAGAGCCAAAGTAAATATTTTCTATTATTCTTATCCTTATGCTTGGTTATTTTTAGGCAAGCTTCTAAATATCGACACGRCCGATACACCGGTAGGGCATATCGGCTTGTGTCGGTATTTTTTTTTTATATTTTACCTTTTTTTTCGAAATCAGTTTAGAAGGAGTGATTTAAGGCCCAGCTACCCTCTGAACCAGTGGTTGACCCAATACAAGTCTACAACCCCTGTAGGGGCGTATCGAAAAGCCACTGGCACAATACGGGCCGATACATGCCGATACTTCGAACCTTGGCTTTAGGGAGATGGAGGTTCATCATTGGATCAGTTCCCTAGTAGAGAGTAGTCTGCGTAGAGACTTGATCAATCATGTTAAAGCGCAACCAGCTGGATGAAAGCTCAAGGATGCGTCGATATAAGAAACAAATTAACCAACTAACAAAGCTGAAATAAAAGCCCACAATCAGGTGGCTTATCGGTCTTGAATGTTGCTGTAATTCATCTATGCCGAGATGCAAATTAACCTAAGATTAATAAAGAAAGCAATGCAAAAGAACACCTTTGCTGTGGCCTTATCTTTTGCGCCATACCGTCTACAATGACAAAAAAAAGCCCAGAATTCATTCTCGTAACAATGGGGATATTGTTACACTTATTTAACAAAACCCAACATGACCCCCTCCCTACCTCACTCACTAAATGGGCATACATAAGTACATTTTCACAACTTTGTTTCACCTACACAAGCACTCTCAACTCAAATCTTACCCCAAAACCAAAAAGCACACAGTGAAAACCCAAGAATCCCTTGTAATCTATTTCACACTATACAAAATGGACAAATAATGAATAACCCAACCCCACGACCGAAACTATAATATCCATCCACACTAAGCAAACCACGGCTAGCCGCTAGCATCTATTGCAGTGCCCGTCCTGGCTTGTGAAATTCGGTTAGCATAAATTGTCACCAACCGCAACTGCGTGCTGTTGAGCCCTTCCAGGTATGGTAAGAATGCTTTTCCAAGCATGATATAGATATCTACCAAACAGAAAACAACGGTCTGCAAAACCAACCACAAAATAAAAAGAGAAAACCATGATCAAATATAGAAAACCACCATCTATAAAGCTGCCATCAAGATGCTTATGGAAAGCGATTTCAACGATCATAAAGAAAAACATCTCCCGTTTCACAGGTCATATCCACTATCAAAAATTTCTAATGCATAAATGATTGTATCACTTTCACATATGTGCTGATATCACCCTGTAATTAGTTAATTAGAGAGCAAGAGATTTCATTCGTTCATCCAAATCAATGGCCTCAGTACCTTTGTGCCTATGAAACCGAAAAAAGGAAAGAAAAAAGAAAAAAATAACAGTGCCATTCAATAGGCTCTTTGGCCCCATTATCATTGGTAGAGAGGAAGAAGACATTATGAGCCTTAAAACTGTTTTGCCCAAAAAACGTTTCTTAACTTGACATAAAATCCCTTAAATGTTATCATGGCAACTCAAAACTATGGTTCCAGCCATGGCAACATGAAGCACTTGGTATGATAGTTCTTGTCATGTTCTGATGACCCAGCTAAAATTAATTTTAATAATAAGAAATCCTTAACACCCTCATGCATCAATATTAGACCTGGCAACAAGTTTACCCAACCCGCGAACCCGACCCAACCCCAAAAAAGGGTTAGGTTTCCCAAATCCGAGAATAACCCGACCTGACCTGAAAATTGGGTTGGACCAGGTCATGGGTCAACCCACTGGCCCGATTGTCAGGTCTAATTGGGACTATTTAGTCTTTATTCTTTGAATTTTTGAATTTTCACACTTTTATTTTTTATTTAGAAATTTAAGGTTAATTCTTTTAATTTTGGAATTTTCATGTATTTTTTATTTATTTTTTGAAGTTCCAGTTATTTTTATGGTTGACCCCAATCCCAAACATTTAGGGTTAGGGTCTAGCATTTGCTGGTCCAACTCAAAATTCAACCCAACCCAAAACCAACCTGAAGTGTCTTCACCCAACCCGAACCCGACCCACACAACCCAATGCTAGGTCTAATCAATATGATGCCAAAACTTTGACTCACCATGTTTTTCTATAATTTCTTATTTATACTATCAAGTATCAAGTGTTCATGAAGTTCAGCTTTTATATAAGCATGCATATCTGCATTATTTGTCAAGGTGTTGAGTAGGTGTACAGTAGGCAGCAAAGCACTTTTGGATGCTCACTAATGCTGTGCATTTTGCATTCCTTACTTGAAGGACTTATCTCCTTTTTGCACTTAAAAACTCAGTGTTCATAGGGGCATTTTAACTGCAAAAAGGAGATAAGTCCAAAAAATAAGGAATGCCAAATGCATAATGGATGACCTTGGATCAGTTATAGTATGTACTATCTTATGGTAGACTTGCATACATAAAAACATACTTTATATATAATTCTATTTTTTAGCTTTTATACTATATCATGGAGGATGGTCATAAACAGAATCATAGTATGCATATAACTCTATTGTTTGGCCTTCATTCCTTTCAGGTAAGGGATGCAACTGGCATGGTTTTAGTTTGAAGCATTGGTATAGAAGATTCCAGATGTTTCTTTCTTATTCTTCTTAAACCAGAATTCCACCCCCACCACCAATAGAGAGTAGAACAGCTTATTATTCCTTTATATTTCTTTATGACTTTATGTTTGGACTCTTGCTACTAATGGAGTTGTTTCTGTTTTTCATCGTTGTATTAAAAGCTAATAGGATAAATGGACATGAGTTCATCATTGATTCTTTTCACCAATTTCCTCTCCCACATGTCTCTCTTCTTCTCTTCCTCTTTCTCCTCTCATTCTAACAGCAAGGTTAAACATTGAGTCATCATCTCTTCTTGGACATCACATTTTTAAGTGAACAAATGCAAGACTCTTACTTATCCAGAAAAAAAAAAGCAAAAGACTCTGTTGACTAGGGTGGACAAGAATCAAACTTTTCTTGAGCTATTCRAGCTCGGTTCGTGACAAGTCTGCTCAGCTCAACTCAAGTCGAGCTTCAAAATGAATTTGAGTCTAAGTATTGGGTGTATATTATATAATTTATAGTTATTAATTTTTATTAGTGGGAACACAATTATATCGTGGTCCCTGCTGTATAGTAGTTTTCAATTATTTTGTTATAATGGGATGGGAGGGAAAAAAACCTTCATTCAATTGAAGGAATTCAAGAAGAGTCGAAGACCCAGGACTCAAGACTGTGAACTGCGACTATGAACTCAACTATGCCTGTGATAGATCATTGAAGCTTTAGTTCAAATGAGAAAAGGCCCTAGAGTAATTGATTCCAGGTTGTCTGGTGAAGGCATCAAGCTCCAAATCAATTCCAGGCTGTTCTTCTAATTTTAGGTTCCTTCTGGCTTCCATAGGGACTTGGATTTATTATTGATTTGGGTTCAAGTCAGGGGAGCTCGTTCGATCAAGTTCCAAATTGAGATTAAACTCACCCAATCAAGCTACAAATCGATTCCAGAAGAATATCCAGGTGCAAATTGGTTGAACTCCTCTTGATTTCAAGTTCCTTCTGGCTTCCGCATGGAGTTGGATTTATTGATTTGATTTGGAACTCAGATTTGAGCTCGGGAGGCTTGGTTCACTAGTCAAGCTTGAACATAAGAGTTTTTGACTCAAGCCAAATTTGACCTAGCATTTCTAGTTCGAATTGAGCACAAGCCTGAATTCAAGCTTTGTATTTTTATGCTGAGCTGAGTTCAAATAATCAAATATTTGGCTTGGCTCGGCTCGAATCCACCCACACTGCTGAGACATCATCAGCTAGCATTGTGATATCAAAAGGTGCAAAGATGGCCTACTAAAGAAACAAAGAGCCCCTAGATTTTGAATAAGGGTGGATTCGCACATGTTTTAGGATCACTATCTTCCAAAGTATTCATTTTGGAAATTTTTTACTGGGAAATAAAGAAAAAATACAGTTAAAAATCTGATAATATCTCTCAATTGGAAGTTGGAACCAGAAATTGATGATGACCATAATATTTTGAAATTGAACAATGGTGGTCTTCTAATTTTCAAGTGTCCACAGAATTTTCGAGTCTGAGAGCACCCACTTTGTGCAAAAAATCCAAATACACTACCTTGTGTAAATCTGGCTCTACCTTAGACCCTATTGGAAATCCCAGTTTCCTACAAATGGCACACATGTTCAGTATTCTACATCAGCCCTATACACTACCTTGTTTTGAAACTTGTTTTTTATTTTTTTTGTAACTGAAAAAAATTCAAAATTTTAATTTAAAGATGCCCCAAGAAGGGTTTTGTCCACATGGTGAGAATTTTAATCTGAAACTTGTCCATGAAAAGAGGGTGGCTACAGGAATATGCGAGGTGCCACCAATTGGGTCCCAGCAATATTTCCTTGTGGGAAATTCCTGATTCATTGTGAATACATCAAACAAGCAAACTAGCAAGTTGTCCACTTGTAACAATTACATATAACTAATATTCTTGAATAGAAAATAATTTCTCACATTGAGAGCAGCTAGTTACCAGGGTCCTTACTACATATGGAAATAAAGTGTATAAAAATTCCAGTCAAGTGTTTTTTTTTTCAGGTGATGTAATGGATATTTGTTCTCACTTCCCAAGCTGATTTCAACTAAAAAGGAATATAGCTTGATGAGTGAGGGCATTTTGGTGCATGAAGAAAAAAGAACTACGATGGATAAGGGATAATGAGGATGACTTGTGACTGTGATTTCTGTAGCAAAACATTCAAGAAACAGGGCTTTTTCACAGATTGATTAAATCTTTTTCTTTTTTTCGTTTAAGATTGGCTAGATTGGTTAAATCATTGGCAAAGAGGCATGGCATATCAGTGGTTGATAGACCAGAACTTTATTGGGAACCTGCTACATCCCATAGCAGGTTGTTGAGCTTTCCWGGCCTGCTTCCTTTGGGCTTGTTTTATTGGGGTTGCCTTGATTCRAAGGCTTTGGTCTGGCCCATCTTGGTTGTTTTAGGCTCCTATTCAGATTATCTCTTTGTATCTTTTGCTCTTCCTTTTGAACATGTTTTATTCTCTTCTCCTTATTAGACGACCAGACCCTACATCGGTGGGAGCCTCGTGCACTGGGCTGCCCATTAAAACGACTAGACAAGAGGAAGTTGCAAACTATTTCTAAACATATAAGACATTCAGCAAAGACCAAAGGAAACTTTCTTACCTTACGAACATCTGCACTCTGGTTTCCAAATGCATCAAAAAGAGAAGGTAGAAATGAAGGCAACTGAGCCATCACTTCCTCTTGTGAGAGCCGCCCCACTAGCTGAAGGCATACAGAGATATTTGCAAATGTCAYTATACTAAAAATAACAAATGATTACAATTCAAAATTGGCATTTCAGAAGGAAAATTGCTCCCATTTCCCTTATGCTTTGTCAGGTATATTAGAAAAATTGTGTAGGAAAAGAAAATGATATAATAAAGGGAAAAAAATAAAGAAAACTACACCTGCTTTTCTCATTTCTTCTTCATCGTCAAAGAAAAAGGACCTAGAAATTCCTCAAATCCCACATTTGTTTAAGGGGAGGCAAGAAGAGGTTGGACAGACCCAACCAGAAAAGTTAATAACCAAGTAAAATCATAAACAGATATATGTCCAAACCTCTGGCATCCTCGATGATAAAGGCTTTGATGCCAGGAAAGAACTGTATAAGGAAAAAGTGGCAAATCCCAACCAATCCTCACAAAAATGTAAGGAGAGTACAGAGTCTTATTTTAAATTAAAAAAATGAATAAACTACCTAGGGAGAGTTGAATCCCTGACCTGGGATCATATCCTACCTTCATCAATCCTAACATAATTGCTGACTACAGACCCATTACTCACCAATAAGCTAAGACCCAATGCTGGTTCTAGTTATTCAGGGTCTTGTGAAGAGTGGACTAGAAAAAGGAACTCACGTAATGGCATTTCAACAATAAGTGGTCACTTTCAGACTTGAACCCATGTTCTTACACTTGTCAGTCTGAGATTTTACCATCACACCGAGCAATAGCCCTTAGAATCTATTATTATATTGTTGAGAAAGTCTGTCTTTAGTGTGGTTATGCATGAGACCTTACATTAGCTTTTTGATGGAATGAGCTTTAGTGCTTAATGACTTCAAGAGCTTTGAGTGTAGAGATTTTCTTTAGTTGAGACACTCTTTTGGGTATAGAAGACAGTAGTTTTTTTTGGATTTGGGCCCCTCATGTATATCATTACACAAACAACAAAAAGTTCTTTGATTATTCATGAAAAATAAAAATGGCCCAAATAATTAATGGTGAAAGCTTGATAAGAATAAAAATGAATACCTTTGTCAAACAGTTGATGCAAGTAACAAGAGTTTTCTCATCTTCACTGACCAATAGTGGTACAATAACCTGAAAAATATATCAAGGTCAACTAAGGGCTTTGTGAAAGTTTAGATGCTAATTCAACAATTCTTCAGTTCCTCAGATTCAGACAACAAGATAAAATCGAAATTTACTTACTGTTAGACACCTGAATGGATCATACTGAGATAATACAGTAGTTAAACAACGCTCTGCTTCATTTGCAACCTGGATGAAGAAAAGGTGATAGGATTTAGAAAGAAAACATCAATGTATATATGTATGTTTATATAAAGAACTAGAGTTAAAAACGAGGATACTGTAAGAATTCGGCCTGCCTTTGAGTTCTGTTAGTCTGATAACAGTCAAGAAAAAAGAGGAAGAAAGAGGGAAGAAAGAGAGAGAAAAGAGGAGAAAAAGAGAGAAGAAAAGTCTGGTTCCAATTAGGGTAAAAGTTGCACCCCCCATTTGGCCAGACATGTTTTTATATTATTAAYAGAATGGAAAAGACACATGTGCCCTTATTTAAGTGAGGGACACTAGTTCTAATATAATATTACAGATCAGCAACCTCAACATAAGTATAAAGACAGAAATACCCCTACACTAACAGATACCTTGGCAATCATATCCTTTGTTGCATGAAGCAGCTTCTCAATTACGATTTCCACTGAATCTTCCATGGTTGCTTTCTAGAAGTAAACACACACACAAAGTTTTCAGTAAGATAACAGATTTGAGTAGGTGCAAGAATGCTGCAGAGAGCCAGATTTTTGAGTTTGAAAGTACAGATATAGAAAGACATCCTACAATAGATTCAAAAAAGATAGAACATAGACCTGATTATTGAGCATTTCAACAATCAAAGAAAGAGCATGTTCCCTGATTGAAGAATCAGAATCATCCAAAACCTCGAGTACAACAGTTAGAATCTGATTGAAATACTGCAGATGCACAATTCGAAAACCATCAGCATCAAATTATATTCCACGAAAAATGGCTTGCTACTGTTAGGATAAAAATTACATCTGTTCTTTTTTCCTCAACTTCTTGAGCAAACTATATCATGATTTGATTTGAAATCAGGACCCTTCTAGCACATGCAAAGGAAGATAACGAAATCAACTATTACATTAACTTTCATTTGCAAAACAAAATATAAAAGGACAGAAACAACTAGAAATAAGAAGCATTTTGTGGAACTTAAATAAAATTGGTCTCAACAAGAAAAATCAGTTAAAGAACTGTTCTAATTCATAAAAGGAAAAGAAGAGGCAAAACTGTTGAGTCATGGGAACAATAATTTTCATGTGGAAGGGAACTGATTGTCACCATTTTTCTTTCATGCTTTTGGTGGTGGTGATTAGCAGAACTTTGCTGAAAGCAGAATAATTAAGGTCGCATTTGGCAGTCAGGTAAGRTAGCTCAATGGACCTTTAAAAAAGTTCTATTAAAAAGTCAGTTAAGGGAGTTTGATGAGCACCATTTACCAATGATAAATAAGGAGTATCAAGTGCCTGATAATATCAGTTTCTTATTTTCACCTCAATGTCAATATTACCCTTTATATAGCATACCGCATAAAAAACAATGCACCAATGCTATTAAAATAATTGCTACCACAAATAGAACGGCTCCATTTGTCAATGTGTCCATTGACCTATCTCTACAAACATTTCAATTTGATTTGTGTAAGAGGTGTAACACAGGAGATGAAGGTGGTTTGGTGTAGTGTAGGTTGGAATGCTAACAGGGATCATGCTTGTTGGGAGCGACCCAAAGGCATGGACAGGAATCAACTAAGCTAAAGCTTTTGTAGAGAGATATAAGCCTTGCCTAAAAAGAAACAATTCATGCAACGGAAAGAGCAGCAATTAGCAGAATGAAAACAGTAATCATAAAGGAAAAAGAATAAAAAAAACTTACAATTCCACATAAATATTAGTGGTGGCAGAACAGTGTGGAAAAACAAACCACAGATCACTTTTCTTGTTCTGGGTAAGAAGCTGTGGCAGAATAGTGTGGAAGAGTAGTGGGTAAGGTTCAATATTAGGGCTTTAGCATCAAAATGAAACATAGAAGAGACCTGTTTGTGCTCTTTAAAAACTGACTGGGGTAAAATTGGAAACAAAATATCACTTAAAATTTTGGCCTGGATAAGTTAAAAGAACAAGGAGATTTGAACTTTTTTTTTTTTTACTTTAATGGTTTGAAAAGGTTGATTTTGTTGGAACTCACCACAAGTTGGAACCCCGTGTTTTCTCTTTATTTGATATTCAATCGGGGTGATGCCATGGATAACTAGTACTCATGGCTTGATCATTAATAGGATGGAAAAAAGACCAGCAGATTGGAAATGAAGATAATTATTGCCATTTTTTGTCTTTTTTTTTCTGGGAGAGGAGGGCAAATTACTCAGAATAGAAAAAAAACACTTTCAAGTCTCACAATTTTCTATCTTCCATCAGTTTCTGAGAAGATGGAAATAAAATTGGCCAGATCTTTTTATGGAAAGATAGAAACAAGAAGAATTTCAGCAACTGGCAATGACTGAAGGGGTCAAAGGGCCTTAGAAACATCAAAACATTATTTTATATACTGTCTTTAAAGGTTGCAGCCATTAGAGAGCAAAAGTACTACACAATACAGGATGGGATACCAGAAAGTTACTACACCATAATGTGCTTTTGGAAAGGAAACATGAATTATTTTTAAGGATACATGTTAAACTGCAACTACAAAGTTTCAAATGGGAAAATAATACAGTTTTACGAGGATACATGGGGTGAGGCAGAATGTATTTTCCAAGTATGTCCAAGACCATAAGTCCCAAAAAGAAGATAATGCCTGCTTTTAAATTAGAGATGGATAGGTAGGGAGGAACCCTGTGTTTATACAAGCATTTCCTTCAAGGGAAGTAGAGAAGAGGTTTGATCCTTTGCCTAAGAGTGGTTAGAAATCTAATTATTTATTACCGCCTTGACCATCTCTTTGGTACTTGTTGAAGATTAATCAGTTTTATGATGTTTTTATGAATAGATGTTTTATGTTAGTTGTTAGATAGGAGGTGGGGACCACAGTAGTTATGTGAGTCCAAATTTTATTATGTTATCTGAGTAGATGTTTTATGTTAGTTGTTAGATAGGAGGTGGGGACCACAGTAGTTATGTGAGTCCAAATTTTATTATGTTTTTGTGTCTTATATATGCTGTTTTATGTCTTGCCGCCCTATAAGGGCATAGTTGTCATTGTACTGCTCTAT